CCTGCTTTTCTTCCTTTCTTCCATCCTTCCTTCCTTCCTTCCTTCTTTCCTTCCTTCTTTCATTCCTTCCTTTCTTCCTTTCTTCTTTCTTCCATCCTTCCTTCCTTCCTTCCTTCCTTTCCGTCACACTAATACATCGGTTCATTTCAGGTGAATTCCCTCATCCTCTTAGAACTGCACCGTACGTTGGCTGATAGACAGAGGAACATTTTTTATCCAAAAGCCTATGCATATGCTGGTGGTGTGGGCGGAGCTGGAGGTCAGTGGTGCCAGAGGAGGTATATGCTGCTGATGTAGGCGGTTATTTGGCAGCAGACAGTGAGGTGGCAGGGCTATAAACAGGACCTCTCATCTGGCCTTAGTTCCCACATGTTCACTCTTTGCTCAGTTTAAACTCTGCTGTGTTTTTTATCTGCAGGTCAGAGACAAAAGCGGGGCCCTCCTGTGGAGGGTTACAAAGCTTTTAAAGTACTTGACTTGGTCTCCAAATATCATAAAAGAGCAACAAAAACGTGAACATCCACATGAATATAAGAAGACAACAATTCTGGTTAATATTTCAAATCATGAGCTCTGTATGTTTTGCATGAGGAGCTGGAATCTCAGGGGAGTGATGTAGAGAAGTACGGCCCCAGAGAGCAGCAGGGTTTGGCATAGTATGATTTGTCGGTAATTTATTGTACAGTATATATAAATGTCTTAAAAACAAATTTGGAGGAAATAAAAAAACAAACAAACAAAAAAACATGTCTTTTATATATATATGTATATATATATATGATTGACAGTTATGCACTTAATTTAAATAAATAAAAAAATGTGAAATATTTGCCTCATAGCAGGAAATAGATGTGAGTAAAGAAAATAACTGGGAAAAGTCTTCATAAGGTTAATTGCTATTTTTATTGTCACAGTTGCTGTCAAAGCTACTTATAAATTTTATAATGATCTTTGTCTGAAAACCAATGTAATTTATTTGATTGTTTTGCAGACATTTACACAAAACTGTTTTATTCTAGCAATTATATCCCTGTAAAAAAATGAAGAAATGAAAATTGTCACACAAGAAAGAGATTTCTTAAAGGTTCTCCAGTACTGCATTTGGGTCCTGCCTGCTCCCTGCGATGCTCGCACATGACACTTTAAGCAGCGGCTTGCGGTGGTTAGTCTTCAGAGAAGGAAACGCTTTGATCATAGATTATATTTTCCATAAGGAAAATAGCAGGGGTTTGATGTCTGGTGTATTGACACAGAATAGACTGACCTAGGTTATCGGTGACTTCATACATGTCTTGGAAGTCTTTCATCCTCAGACCAATGACGTCCACAAAGTCCTCCACCAGACGGAACAGCTCTTTGACATTTGGTCCAAACTGTGGAGACAGAGAGGTGAACAGAGTCTATAAAAAATCGTTTTATTTATGTGCAGATGGAAAAAGCCTGTGGTCTACTAGCACACAAATCTATGGTTTTATTATCCTCACAGCTACAAATGTGGATTTGGTTGCTTCTGAACATGTATGTTGACCACTTAAAAACAGGTTTGAAACTAGTTGTTGAGGTAAATCTAAAAAAGAACCTGAAACCTTCTGGACTCAACTCCACTTCCTTAACCACTAAGCCATCACTGTCCCAGACAGATTTGGTTATAACACATTTACATCTTTGAGTGTTTCATCTTCAGAATGTCAGTATAAGTACTTCCTGAGGTCTCTGTGAGAACTGAAGATAAAAAAGTAACATTTTCTTGCTGAGATCCTCGTCTAACAGGACAAGTAGTGAACCTGCTTTATGAGATTACAGCGAATTTAAACCACAAAAGTCTTAGTAAAAACCAATTCCAGAAATTATATTTACAATTAAGAAATTAATAGGACAAGTGAACAAGCCATACATTTGCTGTCTCACCAAAGCACTGACGATGACGACCATTACTAGAATAATCAGCACATCCCACTTCTTTATGTTACCTACATCACTGCTTGTAAGTTGGTGTTGCTGTGGTTTGTGACGCCTACATGGTGCGAGCGGCTGGTTGAAAGTGCAGCAGATGGATTAGTGGGTGTTTGCATTTACATCGTCACTCATTAGCCACAGCTATTTCTGTACAGCAGCACCTACGGCTCCTCTCTGTTTGCCTCTGTGCGTTCGAGATAGATAGTGGGCACTGTCTCCACCTGTGTGTCTGCCAGAGTTGATATGCGGTCCACTTCTACAGCTCTGAGATCGCTATTATTATCACTGTGCACTAATAAGAACAGTTTATTACAGTTGGGCTGACGGTGTCAGTTATATAAATATACGCTCTGACACTTACCAGTTGTGCTTCTTCCCATCTTTCCCTGTTCTCCTCCATCAACAGGTTGCTTAACGATTGCACAAAGTTCTGAAAATAAATGAATAAACTAGTTAGAAAATCTCAAAGCTGTCAAAAATCAAGACACTGTATTTGGACGTGGTTTACATCAGGTCGTCCTTCTTTTGCTAAATAAATATTTTAAGGAGTTCAGCTGACAAGTACTATTAATTCATCAGTGACTCACGGTGTAGCTGTGGGAACCATGTGGGCTGAGACTCCCGAGAAGAGAAGAAGTAGTGAACTCTCAGTGATGTCCACACGGTACATTAACTCACCCTCATATCTGCACTGCTGGGGCTGTAATACGCCCTCCTGAAGATCTCCGTCATGTTCTTCAGCACATCCACGATGGCCAGCAGGTCACCACTGTAGCTGGTCCCGTCACTGGACGTCACCCTGAGCTTGGTCATCACCTCTGACACACCATCTCCAACAAGCCCACGCTGAGCTTTGGACAAATGTTCACGAGTCTGATGGAGAAACAGATTTAAAAAAAAGAAAATATATATGAATAAATCACACATTTTACTAAACTCTCTATCTTAATGAGCCACTGGAGGTGTATAGCTGTGTATTCATCTCACTGGAAATGCTTTCTTTTTTCCTGTGGAAGTGTTTGGCCTCAGAATAAATATAGTTGACAAATACATATAGTATAGGTGGGAGTAATTTGTTCAGAAAGAAGTTGCAGCTAAAACCCACACTGTGGCAAATGTTGGGGAGCAGAGAGGGCGCAGGAGCAGCCCAAAGGGAAACCTGGAATCTCTGTTTTAAATATGCAAAATTATAATTAAACCTGTCTATCACAGAAGATGCAACAGTTTCTGTTAATGTAATAATAAGAAGTAGTGTAAAACAAAGTCTACAACTAATTTTACTAGGATCTACTAGTTTCTGGAACATTTATAACTTGTTCTAGTTCTTGTGGAGAACAATAAAAACATTTTTTTGCTGGTGTTTCTTGTTAGTGACTGTTTCACCTAATGCTGTGTCAAGATTGGAAGGTCCATAGTCCGAGTGTCATAGTTGAAAATTATACAATTTTAATTACATTTTTGCATCACAGAAGTTGTAATGCTCTGCAACTAGTTTAGGGTGGGGCTGAACTAGTTTTGTCCAGTGAAGGAAATAGATTTGGAAACTAAATGCATGACTTGTTCTTGTGAGGAGGAAGAAATAAACATCTACTTTATCTACTTTAGGGAATTTTTAAAATATAAAATATTGATGTAGTAGAACTGCTGTGATGTGTATTAATATATATTATATTCTGCAGGAAACCCAACAATCCTCTGAGTACTTTGGCTGGTGTTTGTCAAACCGTGTGCCCTTTAATACAGGTTCACTCTACACTGTACCAAATCTCGCATGATGGAACTGACCAAAATGAGGAAGAAGTGCAGCTTTAGTGCCAGAATCATATTATATATTATTCCTATCGATCACTGAGACAAATATAAAGTGACAGAACCAATGGGAAAGTTAAATAAACGTTACTAATAAAAAATGAATAAACTTCTATGTATTCATGTGTTTGAGCTCTGGACTCAATACTGTCCTTGGCATTCTGTGATCTTATAACTTGTCCCACACTGTCTTTGTCTCCCATTTATTTGATTGGACCTGGTCACTCAATAGAGCAGAGGAAATAAAACTGCAATCATATCTCCTCCTGGAGTAACTTTTCTCTAAAACTACATTTTATTTCATCTCCTCTCTAAAAAGTTAAATTACTTGTACTTTACACAAAAATGTCAACCACTACAGTTTTTTAATTGTATAATTGTAATATTTTGTTGTAATGTGCGATGAGTCTTAAAATTTTAACATTTAAAGTCCAATAAAAAGAAAAGTGTTTTAAAAAGGTTAATATCATTCAACAGAAAATGACTATGATTTTGAAGTAGTTCAAACAGATCACTTTGTGCTTCTCAGTTGTTGTCCAATCATTTTTTAATCCTGTTTTATGACCAACAAATACCAGCTGTATATTTATGAAACTAAGGAGTACAAAGAGCTTCACACATTAATAAAGTGTGTTTTCTCACCAGAGTTTGTATGCTGCGATAATCGTTGGAAATACATTTTGTGTAGGTAGGATTTTCCCAGAATGCAATGCCTTCTTCGTCCAGGGAGCAGCGGCGCAAGATGAGCCCTGTAGAAGAACCAAGGCAGTATTACGTTACCTGAACCTGATATTTTCTAGCACAGTGTACTGCACATGAGCTTTGTACAGTATATTGCATGATCTCACCTATTGCATTTAGGGGACACCTCACTGCTGCCGTGTCTCCAGCTGGAGTCATCTTCCATATGACGTTGGAGAAGTTGTCCTCTCCACATATTTCGTGCGGTTCTGTTCACAGACAGTTATACAGGTGGTGTACACTGGTTACAATGGGAGTAGAAGGGAATTTAAAGGTCATGAAGCAACCAGTTTTTGCTGCACTGACCTGGACATCTCTTTTCGTTACAAACCCGGACCTCCTCTCGTTCTCCAGGACAGGGCTGACCCCCAGAAAAGGGTCCATAACAAATCCTGTTTCTCTGCTGATTTCCCCCACCACAGGTTTTGGAACAGCCCGACCACAAAGACCACGGCTGCCACTTGCCGTCCACTGAGGTAATGATCACAACAGCATCATCAGTACATTTGTTGTGACTATGCATTTCTTTTTTTGACCAACTAAAAAAAACATTGCTGGATGGTACAAGGATACAGAAAAGATCAAACGCTACAATTTTAAGTTGAACAGCAATGTTCTAAAAATGTTGAAAATGCAGAGGGTATTTTGAGCAGTCTGTCTTTTTCATACCAGGACACTCTCTCAGGAAGCAGTCGACAGTCTCCAGCCATTCTCCTCTGCACTCGGAGCCCCCGTATGAAGGGCCATTACACTCCCTGATTCTCTGCATGGTACCATTAGAGCAGGAAGCAGAACAAGAGCTCCAGCTGGACCACTCATTCCACACTCCATCCACTAAACATGACCAAACAAGTCCCCAACAGACAACAGAAAAGACATTTGTCAACATTTATCTTGGACATATCCCTGTGCCTGCTATTTATAAAAAAAGAGAAAAAAAAGGCTAGGACTGCAAACAAAGGACATGATATAAGCAGTGAATAAAAATATATATAGTAAATAAATGGGTTTTTTTCACTTGAAAATGAATATAATAACATTTATCCAACAGTGAGTTTGAGTAAAAAATAAATCCCAGAACAATTGGACAAACAAATGCATTTTCTGTCGCACAGTTATTTTTCAACTTGCCATAGAAATAAGCTCGTCATTAAACAGTGCAACTACCTTATAATTCAAGGCATTATTATTCAGTATTCAAAATTAATTCATGGAGCTACGCATCATTTTCAGTGAGGGCTGAAAGCAGCATTTATATACACAGCATTAGCCCGGAAGTTTACAGCAAATTTATTTAGAGTCCAATCCACCAGAGAGAAATTTGAATCGAGCAAACGAGAAAAGTTTGACACTGAGTCAGAGCCTGAGTCACAAAAGAATGAGTTTAAGTTCTCTGTTTTTTCAGAGTTTGATTTTGAGTCATCAGTTCTTAAGTTGAGTTGGGAAGTACTATGAAAACTTTTTTTTTTTTTTTTTGGTGTTTCTTACCTGGACATACAGCTATGTTGCAGAATTTGGTCTGTTTCTCTGGGCCATCACAGGGATCTCCCCCAAACTGAGGAGGAGTGCAGGTTCGTGTTCGGGACCTGTAACCTCTGCCACAGGTTGACGAACACAAACTCCACGGTGACCATTCGTCCCAAGCACCATGTACTGCAATTAAAGTAGCTATGGTGTGATTCATAGAAAGACAAATACTAGCTTTCTGACACACCGTTACAATACAAGATCATATTTATGCTGTACTTGCTTTAACTGCCCTCATTGATGGAGGTTGTGTGGTGGCATGTCAATTTAGACAGAGGAGTCTCCCGTATTGTCTGAAATCATTTTGAATTTTAGGCTGCAGGAAAAGTCATTCCTGTGAGGTGAGGTAAGAAACCATTTGTGGGTTCAAGGGACCAAGGGCCAAGTGTTTTCATTTGGGTGTTAAGTGGTGAGGGGAGGTTCAAAAACGGGGAGGGGCCAGTGCAGGGAGGTAAAACTACAGGGGGCAGCTAAGTGGCACTAACGCTTACCTGGACACACAGCAGAGTTGTTGCAGGGTCTCTGCTCTCGCAGTGGCCCACTACATTGGGTGCTGTAAGAGGAGGAGACGCAGAAACGAGTACGACTCTGCCAACCCTCCCCACACGTAGCAGAACACACAGTCCACGCTGACCATTCCTCACCTGAAGATGAGTCTACTGAGACGGAAAAAAATGGGGGAGGATGGGTGGACAGAGGGAGAAAAAAGAGAGGGAAGGGAAAGGAAAGGGCCGTAACTAATTATCATGCAGGACGCAGCCACTATGGCCAAAAAAAGAAAGGGTTGTGGTGTGATAAAGGGTGGACGTTTGCTGTGCTGCATTCAAGGGGCTGCCTTCTCTCAAGGCTTTCAATATTGGCGGGCAAATGCCCTTTTCTTTTAAATGCATGTTGAGAATGAAGTTTCGAGACAAAACCATTTGTCCTTGCAGGCCTTAAATATCCTAATCCGCTAGGTTCCGGGCACTTGAAAAGAGTGGACAAAGAGAGGGACTTTAAGGAGAGAGGTTTTTAATCCAAGGCAATCACTGGTCCAGTCTGTTAATGTTCTGACAATGTGTCCTTCAGAAAAGGCCGCCTCTAAAATGGAGCACAGCTTTTGCTCTACGTCTGTGGGGGCTGTGATGTCATATCCTCTACATTGACTTCCAGTGGAAGTGAATGCCATTTGGCTCAGGATATGTCAGTTGCTGTTTCTGTGGTTATGGCTGGTGGGTCTGTTGGTCCTTTTGGGAAAGAAAGAAGGAAAGTCAGAAGAAGAGGAGTAAGAAGGAAAAACCTAAACAGGAAGTGAGGAACTGTAATTGGCTCCTAATGAAGTAATACTTCACCCAAATTCTGTTTTAACCTTTTGATAGTTACAGGAAACTGTAACTTTCCACAGGGACATGTGGACAGGTTATTACATTAGTGAAAATTAAGACACTGAGACACTAAGACAATTAAGCACTAAAATTGTATTTAAAATGTATCTTTACTTTTATGTATTGACAAAAATGCAACACATTAGATGGAATAATGATATTTTATAATGTTTAGTTTTCATATATATAATTTTAATTATTACACTGTTGGCTGATGATCAAACAACGTCAAATCAGGTCACAACACCATTTGGCTCTGGAATGCCAAGATGTCAGTCACCATTAATGTATGATACAGTTCTTTATTACCAAACCTACAATAGTGTCCAAAGTCCACCTAGTAGTTTGCTATCAGAAGCATGTTTTTGGGTTGGATATATTGTTGGATCACAGACTGAGGTTACTCAGCTCTATTTTTCCAGAAAGCAAGGCTAAAGTGTTTTGTCACCACAGATGTCATTACTGTCTTACAAACCAAACATTGTCCCGATTCAATGAAGACAATTTTTGTCCCATCTATTAAGGAGTGGAGGTTTTGAGACAACAGATTCTGGGTTGAGTATCACTTTTACAGACAGGGAGGACTCCATTTTTAAGTGTCATGTTTTGCAGACAGGGTACAGTTTCCTGTTATGGCCTCACATAAAATACGACTTCACTATGTTTAGTCAGCGTCCATGTTGGAATTTTCCCACTAGGGACAAAGCACTAAGCACTGCAAGATTCTGCCTAAAAGTGTTTGTTCAAAATTAAGAGTTGACATTTTGGGTATATTTGCACACGTGTGTAGTGGTCACCCAAGCTGTGACTGTGACTGATGCATGGGATCCCTCTGCGTCCTGTTGTCTTACCTGTCTGAGTGCTCTGCTGTCCGGTGCGGGGCTTGTCTACATCTTCGCGCTTGCGGTTGTCCACCGAGCGAAGGGATTGGCTGCGAGAGAGATGGTGACCTTTGCCTAAATAGGGTAAGGCAAAGGCCGGGAAGGGAACAGGTGAGGGGGAGGGGGGAAGG